AAAAATGAACATTTATCATCATGTTGATATAATTTGAATAATTTGCTGATTACTTTCATTTTTGTTTTCATGTCAGCATGGAATAACACAAGCCAATGAGTTGGTGAATCTGAATGAATTCTTTGTGAACCACATTCTCTCCGACTTGAAATCCCCTAATGGTAAGAATCCCCTCAGCATTTTTCAATATGATGTAGAATTACAAAGTGAATAACAGCCGGGTCTCTTAATGTGTGGCTCAGTGATCTGGGGAAACATTTTAATCTACAAACCCGTCATGTCTCGCTACACTGTGATGATGAAAAATATTTCATTATGTATGTACATTTTTTCACATCATGCACCTGTTGTCATCGTAGTAAATGAGTTCCCAGTGCTCAAGGCAGATGCCATCAAGTATGTCATGATCTTCAGAAGCCAGGTACAAACTAACTTTCTGCGCAATATTTAAACATTTCCATTTCCCAGATAAATGGAAATGTAAGGCTTCTTCTTTGTCCTTTTCCTCCAGCTTCCAAAGGAGCAGCTGCTGCAGGCAGTTCCTCTGCTGATAAGTCACCTACAGGCAGAGAGCACAGTGGAGCACACTTACTCTGCTCATGCTTTGGAGAGGCTGTTCACCATGAGAGGACCCAACAACACCACACTGTAAATATCCAGCGCTAAACAATTTGAGAGTTGCTGACACATATTTCTGTTAAAATGCATAGAAAGTGGTCAGTGATGGTACAGCTTACTTCTAATCCTTAAAATGGGAATTCTGTAACTTCTTTGCACAATTAGTCTACATAGATTTAACCACTTTGAATTGAACAATATGCATCTTTAGACAAAATGTAAGCTGGACAAGCATGGCATCTAAGCCACATTAGGTAAAAGGCAACACCCTCTCCATTTTGTAATATTTACTAGAATGTGTGAAGAAGCTTGAGATGAGTGAGATGAAAGAATAAGTAGCTGTTACCTCAGCCAATCATCCCCTCGCTGTGTGTTCCAGTATCACGCCAGCAGAGATGGCACCTTTTACTGAACAGCTGCTCAACAACTTGTTCAAAGCACTGGCTCTTCCTGGCTCAGCTGAGAATGAATACATCATGAAAGGTAAACCTGACTACATTAATGTGGAGCATGTAATTTCACTCAAGGTCCGACCAACCGCAGTTATTTTACGAAGCCTCATCTTTCTTTTCTTAATTTGAACCTTTTTTTTAAAGCCATCATGCGCAGCTTCTCCCTGCTGCAGGAGTCGATCGTCCCCTATATTCCCACCCTGATTGGTCAGCTCACTCATAAGCTCCTTCTGGTCAGCAAGGTAATGCACATTTTGTTACTATTTATTCATACAGACAGATTCCCCAAGATCCTGGTTTGTTCGGGGTGCTGGATGTGTCCCCTCAATTCTTGGTCCCCCATTTTCAGAATCCCAGCAAGCCTCACTTTAACCACTACCTGTTTGAGTCCCTGTGCCTGTCCGTCCGGATCACCTGCAAGGCCAACCCCACCACGGTCAGCAGCTTCGAGGAAGCACTCTTTCCCGTCATCACAGAGATTCTTCAGAACGACGTCCAAGGTGCCTGAATTTATTTCTACGTGTCGACGAAGTGCTCCTAAACCTCGGTGGTGGCTAACGTTTCTCCTCCTCCTCCTTTTTGGTTCTCTGGTGCAGAGTTTCTTCCATACGTGTTCCAGGTGATGTCGCTCCTCCTTGAGATCCACTCCAACTCTATTCCCTCATCCTACATGGCTTTATTCCCTCACCTGCTGCAGCCTGTGCTGTGGGAAAGGACAGGAAACATCCCTCCTCTGGTGCGCCTGCTTCAGGCCTACCTGGAAAAGGGAGGCGCCTCCATCGCCGGCTCTGCTGCAGATAAAATAGTACGTGACGGCAGACGGCGTTGTGTACGGCTCCAAAATGTTAATGTTTTAGTTTCAATGGATAATGGTGATTGTCTCTCAGCTTGTTTTATTCCTAACAGTTACATATATATATTATTGTTTATACATTGCGTGTCCAGTATATTGACTTTCACGCTGCTCTTTCCTCTTTAGCCTGGCTTGCTTGGAGTTTTCCAAAAGCTTATAGCCTCCAAAGCCAATGACCACCAAGGTTTTTACCTTCTCAACAGCATCATAGAGCACATGCCCCCGTAAGTTTGTTGTGGTTGTGTTCTCCTGGGCCCTGTTCCTCGTATGTGGTTCAACAAACTCTTTCAGAATGAGTTGATGGAAAAAAAAAAAGAAGCAATGTGTAGATTTAGAACTAGGAGTTTTATTATGTGTGCGAATCCATATTCGGATGTATGGGCGGATCGCTACGTATTATTCATAGTCAGAAATTCAATGAATTGAAGCAGTGAAACATGGAACATCCGTAAGTTTCGTAGAACGACATGCATCGGCTTTCCTGATGTTCTCTGCTTTGATACACTACAAAAATGTACAGTATGACCGTGTGAGACAGGGAATCCTCTGCTGCGGCGTGTGGTGTTCACTGTAAACGGCTCGACATGGTCTTGTAAAAAAATGATTCCTTGTCGGCAGCATTGATGGCGCTCGTACAGGAAGTGACGTGATGGCAGTGAACTCTTTATCCCTTTTAAATGTTTTATTATAACCAAGGAATGGATATCGCAATGAGGAAGAGAGACAACCTTTTTTGGGGGGGGAGTGGCGAGCCAATCCAGCGGATTAAAGCGTAGTTTATGCTTCTGCATTTTCAGAGCGACGCAGACGCAAGACCCCCTTGCGTGTCCCTTGCGTACCTTTTCACACCTCCTTGTGTGTTTACGAGAAAACGGATCAGATTTAAGAGCTTTTGTCGGAAGAAAATGTGTAAATATGACCGCTTATACAAGCCGTCATTGGCGGACTATAAGGAAGCGTGGATGGCCTCTGATTCATGGAGGGAGATCGCCGCAAACACCGGTTTGCCGATCGAGAGGTGCACAAAGTTGTGGAGGAAAATACGGGACAAAAGTGTCCGCGATGAAAAGCAGCAGTGGCGATGCAGGGGGCAATAAAATCTATGATAAATAAATAAACCAACGACTTCCACACACAAAGACGTGACTCTCTAGGTCGTCTTCAACAAAAAATACTCCACCTGTTCTCGCGGTGAATTGCTCTGCACCACACGCAAGACTTTTAGAACCATCAATTGAAACGAGTGGGTTGACGCAATGGCGCAGACACAGAAAGCATGCGCCAGCCTTTAGCATGGCCTCGAGCAGGTTCAAGTTTTGGGATGTGTTGCTATGGCGATTTTTCTAAACTTGCTTCGGGGAACTGTAAAGCTTTATTTTAATCTTATCCTGACAATTACCCAGCAAACTAAGTTATCCACGTACGAGGAACGGGGCCGTGGTGAAATGTATATTGGTTAAAGTCATGACATTTTTAACTTGCACTGTGCCCCCCCCCCCCCTCCAGAGAATCAATCATTCAGTACAGGAAGCAGATCTTCATTTTGCTCTTCCAGAGGCTCCAAAGCTCCAAAACCACCAAGTTCATCAAGAGTTAGTACAATCGCCTCATAACGAACATTCAAATACTGTCATTCAAAGCACGTCCCCTTCAACCTGCAGTGTCAGCCACTATAGGGATAATTAAGTGGTCTTATTTACTGTATAATCTTTGTCTTTCCACAGGTTTCTTGGTGTTCATCAACTTGTATTGTGTCAAATACGGAGCCATTGCTCTTCAGGAGATTTTTGACAGCATCCAGCCCAAGTAGGTTCACCAGATTTTGACCAACTGACGTTTGTAACACTGATTAAAGTTTAGCACCCAATGTATTCATACCTGTAATGATTACTTGTAATTTGACCATATGACCATTGTGGTGTCTTTAGTTTGCAGTACATTGTGGGTGTCCACGGTCTTCCGTGTAAGTGCCAGAAAACAGTGATGACTCGTACAGTATTAATCATGTTTTTGTTGCAGAATGTTTGGTATGGTGTTGGAGAAAATAATAATACCAGAGGTACAGAAGGTGTCTGGACCAGTTGAAAAGAAGATCTGCGCTGTTGGCATCACAAAGGTCCTCACTGAATGTCCCTCAATGATGGACACAGAGTACACTAAGCTCTGGTAAGAGCCAAACTGAAGGGAAACGCACCTTTTCTATTCCTTTTTTGGTGCAAGAATAGAAATGGGCAGTTTGGAAGTGTACACTTGTGTTTGATGAACTAAGTGTCCCCAAACATTTACACACTGCTACATGGCTGAAATGTTCTTCTGATTTACATGCATTGTTTCTTTTGTCCTGAGCAAATTGTCAGCAATGATTTTAAGTTTAACCGCATGTGTTCAGGACCCCTCTGCTCCAGGCGCTCATTGGTCTGTTTGAGTTGCCAGAAGACGACAGCATCCCGGATGATGAGCACTTTGTCGACATTGAAGACGCACCAGGCTATCAGACGGCATTCTCGCAACTGGCCTTTGCCGGGAAGAAGGAGCACGACCCGATAGGAGACTCTGTCGGCAATCCCAAGATCCTGCTGGCTCAGTCACTCTATAAGCTCTCCACTGCCTGTCCGGGGAGGGTATGTTGGACATGTGGGAAATATTTAGCAAATGACAACAATGGACTTGTTCGGAAGTTGTTTTTAAGTCCTAATGTTCGAGTACAAGACAGGTTGAGATTAATGTATAACCACTATGAATCCTGCTTCTTGTCTCAATTTGATATATATTTTCTTTCTTTTGCAGGTTCCCTCAATGCTGAGTACCAGTCTGAATGCAGAGGCCCTCCAGTTCCTGCAGGGTTACTTACAGGCCGCCACTGTGCAGTTGGTTTGAGTTGAATGGGATGGTGTTCACCTAATAAGGAGCCCACAATACACTGCAGGAGTGATCATACTGACCTCGGGTCACATGACCGTCCCGCTTCAGAATTTGAATCTTAACAGCTTTGGTTTGACTTGGCAGTGTAGGATGGATTTTTAAGGGTTTTTAAAATATGTGGCCAACATTTGACTTAAAAGGATTTGGATATCAAGTTCCTGTACAATTTTCAGTTTATTTCATAAATCTCAGCAGAAGAATATTTCAACAGTATTGTGGAGCTGCTGAACATCACAATCATGCACGAGAGATTTGCTTTGTTTTGTATGATTCACTTACTTTCTATGGTTATGAAGATATTTCTTTTTCTGTTGCATGTTTCCTGTCGATCTGTCGATGTCTGATCTTTGTTTCTGCACCGTGTGTTCATGTGAATAAAAAGAGGCACTTGTATAGATCTGGTATCATCACAACCTTCTATGAGCAGTGTTTCGTAGAATTGATGGGTTTGAGTCTTACTGACTCGTTTGCCTCCAACACGCTGAGAGAAATTTCTTTTCAGATAACAAACCCTTGCTGCCCTTCCCATCCAGTTATGGTTCTAACTAACTAACTAACCAACCAACCAACCTGCTGCACCTCCACATTACAAATTCCTATGTTAAGATGATACACTGAGTCTTTGGTGTCTCATTGGTACATGAAGTTGAAGGACACGATTGACAGCGAGGTCTTAGGCTTTGATGTGTCCATTTGAGGTCTTCAGTTCAACATTTTTAATGAAGGGCAGCATGCATTTGTCACCTCCCATGAAGCGATATGTTGCCACGTTTGCCTCCCAAGGAAGTAATCTGCAAGGGGGGAAATAATAAAATTTAATTTGACTTTGAATCAACAATGGCCGGAGCGTTAACTCAATCGTGTACTCACGCTCGCGTCAGGAAGGGGATGTACATGAGACGAGGGATGCAGATCATTTGCTGGTCAGCTAGAATGGCTTTCATTGACTGCTGTACGGTGTAGAGAGGGTCCAGAGGCGGAATCAGACCCCGAAGCTCCTTCCTGGAAGGTTTCAAACAAAAGTTGAGACAACAACCCACTTTTTTCTCCACTTTTGAGAACTTAAAATGTCTGGCTTCTCACCTGATTTGGCAGCCTTCAAACATGCCGGTGTCTACGATGTAAGGGCAGACCAAAGTGGTCTTGATGCCGTCGACTTTCTCTGCAAGCAGCTCGTGTGTCAGTGACTCGTGGAAACCAACGGCTCCAAATTTACTGGCGCAGTAATCCTGAAAGAGTAAAAACCTGCATTTAATTTTTAGTGTTTTTCTGTTCAGCTTGTTGTGGAAATCCTTATTCTTGTCTTACCTCTACACATGCGGTGCTGAACAGTCCGAGAGCGCTGGCAATGGTTACAATGTGACCATGGTTCTTTGCTTTCATCCGTGGCAGGAAAGCCTTTGTCATCTGTTGGTTTACGAACGTGCATTTTATCTGCTTCATTTTGCTTAATATCCACAGCTATAATTGAGCATCAAGCCAATTTTGACATCTGTGCGACTCGCTTCAGTTATCCAAAATTGCCTTCCTAATGGTTGACATTTGGACTCGGGACAACGTTCTTTTTTCTCAAGAAAACATCCATCTCTGATATCAACAATATAATTCTTAGTAACTTATATCTAGAACAAAAATACCAATATATTATAATCTGTATTGCATTGTTTCTAGTGAACTCAAATTAAGGTTAAAACGTGTCTTGGATTGGTGTTATCTGAAAGTGTTTCCTGGCATCACTTTCATTGCAGTCAGGTTTCAAAAGTGCAACCGTGGTTTTCTGAAATTATAACCCAAACACACATGCATTTCCCCCATAGGAATTATATAGATAACCATAATTGTGGATTGGAATAACACAGTACAATTATAAAATGCATATAAAAGTGAATTGTCATGTAGGAAAAATTGAATCGCTTTGTCAAATCGGGTGACAAAAATGAGCCCCGCGCTCCCTGCAGGTCTCTGGGCACCGACGAGCTTCCCCGCGTGTTGAATGAGAGCACGGGACCGAGGCTTAACGGGATCACGGGCGGAGTCACATGCTGTTTTAGCCGGTGGGCTCGCGTGGGCTCCCTTTTGATCAACCAGGATGAGTGTTCGGAGTTTATTGCCCCCTCATAACCTGCCGTTTCCCCCCGATCACGTGCAACCGTGTGCGCCGATCCGGCGCAGCTGTGCGGCGGCGCGGGCCGCTCGGATCCCAATTCACGCCTCGGTGCGCACATGCAGACCCGGACCAGCGGGACAGCACTACGCTGAATAGATGTTACGTAATTCCTGTCTGGATGCTAGATGATGATTGCTATTAACTAGCAAAGGCAAAGGGGGGAGTTTGTCTCCACGGGTTCTCAAATGTGTGTGCGTCAAAGTCTCACCCAAAACAACGCGTGACAGTTCACCAGCAGAGTCCTCTCCAGCAGCTCGTCGGGACAGTCCAGCAGCCGCCGGCCGGCCACCACGCCCGCGTTGTTGACCAGCACGGAGACGTCTCCGACCTCGGCCCTCACCCTGTCAGCCGTTTCATAGATACTCTGGCGCTTGGACAGGTCCACCGTGTACGCGTGCACCCGAACTCCCAGCTGCCGCGCCAGAGCCGCGGTTCGCTCGTTGGCGGCCGTGTTGCAGTCCCACAGCACCAAGTGGGACCCCTCTTTGGCGAACTCCAGGGCGAAGAGCCGGCCCAGCGCGCCCCCGGCCCCCGTTATCAGACAGAGCTCTCCATCGATACACTTCTGCCTCGGCCGGAGGAAAGTCTGGAGGACGGCGCAGAGGATGGAGTAGGTCAGGTCAATGAGCATTAGCAGCAGGTCCACTATGAAAAGCATGGCGCTGCAGCTGCAGGTGTTGTGCAAAGAGCCAAACAGGCAGATCGCCAATCCTTGGAAGAGTTGATTCTCTTGGTGACGCGGGGATTGGATGCTCATTTTATGTAAGTGTGTGTGTGTGTGTGTGTGTGTGTGTGTGTGTGTGTGTGTGTGTGTGTGTGTGTGTGTGTGTGTGTGTGTGTGTGTGTGTGTGTGTGTGGGGCGGATTAGGACGCCGACGGATGGTGGCCACCAATAGAAAAGGCCTCAGCCTGATGACCGAGGAGCTGTGTGACTAACCCGCGCACATACACGACGCGATCAGAAGCAATTGCAGGGATTTAGAAAACACTTTGGGCCAAAGCCAAAGCAGCACGTAACACCATATTATGTAGGCTATATATCATAAACCGAGGGAGATGTTCATGTGCAGCATTTTTTAGAATCTGCACACGGTTGGCAAATCGCAATATAATTTAAAATATTATATATTGAAGCAAATGTTTCTTATTGGGAAGTCAATTCAGGTAAATGGTTGGTACAAGCAGCCTTAATAGAAGCAGTGGGCTTCGCACACAGGAACCCAGCTGGCAGTAAATGCATTTATTAACTAATTAATGTATTGCATGAAGAAAAGGCTCACAGGTTATAGTAACCAGCATGTTTTTGTTTCCTGAATAATAGAGGAAAATGAGGAGCCATCAGCTTTATGGGTGAAGTTGAGGGTATTATTTTCTGTCTCAGTGTTTTGCTGTAGCACGTAGGATGCTGAGTTAGTGTTTTTAATCATAATAATGTGAAACAGACTCAGTTCAAAGGTACTCGCCGTGTAACCATTGGATTCAAAGAATACATTTGTTGGTTGAGCAATAGTAAGTTTACTGGAAATGATCACAAATATGTTGTGTAAAAAAGTTTCTCATTACTTAACTTAACTTTAAATGTAATGTAAGATATTCAAACCAGCAATGATTGACAACAGTAAACTTTTACAAAAAATATAATTTTACATCTTATCCAAACTGCTCACTTCTTATGTAGACATTCCGTTTATCAATAAGATCAAGTTATTCCTGATCCATGATGTAAGGTGGATTATCCAACTCCAAGAGTAAAATGTGAAGGTCAGAGCTTAGAATGTGTGCAAATATCCCTAATGCGTAGCATGCTTCTCACATTATATAAAAGTACTGTTCTACATTAGACTTTCAATTTCAGTCTCATAACACTGCACTGGTGAGCCAGATTTAAGAAGGTCTGTTTATGATTTTGCTGCAGAGAAATGGTTAATGGTGGAACCATTTCTAAGACTTTAAGACTATTTGTGTCTCATGAAAAGCCTGAAGTTGTGACTGGCATTGAATGTGAAGTAATCCTCCTCAAAACCCTGATCATGATATGTAGCATGACGTAATATACATATAGACATACAATCTGTATCCTGCTTTGAACGAGCCAGTTAGTTGGCAAAAACCCAACTAAGCCACCCGCAATTTCTTTCCCGAATAGGATAATGGTTAAAGGGACTAATTATATTCTTTATGTTTAGATTACCATACTATATAAAAGTAGTTTTTTTAGGTACTGGTTGACTACTTTTTAAAATTCCTATGCAGGTAATTTTACTTTACATTTACATGACTGAAGTTTCTTAAAATTACAGTACTTTTTCTTGAACAAATCTCTTGATGTAATTTCTGCATCTGCCTGTTTCTAATGGAAATTAATTAAAGCCTGTTTACTTCAGTTCATTATAAAATTTCTTTTTGGGCCCTTCAAATAATGATGAAAATTTTTAACCATCTTTTATTTGTATTTATTTCCCATGAAAAATAACTGGCAGAGAAATTGACAGTAACATAACACTGGAGCGTGCTGTTGTACAAGACTTCCATCCACCACACAGTTTCCAGCCATTGCGTAATCTCAGTGCTGGCGCTTATTCATTGTGTTCCTCATGTGTATTTAGTGTTTTCAATGGAACATTATTTCAGTTAACTAAGGGTCAGTCAGGAAAAGGAGAAAGTTGCTTGGAGGTTGCTGACTATTTCCATAAACCGTAGTTTCCTCCGTGATATTAAGTTATGTATGTCAAAGTTTAACAGTTATGTGCATTTAACAACAGGAAAACACAAACATAGAATTTTACACAGTCAACAGTAAAGTAGGAAACTTTACAAAACAACATTTTCTCCACAAACAGTGACGGCAGCCACAGAACTTTAATGAGCTGCACAAAGGTGATAAACACCCTGGAGAACGGGGGCAATTCTGAAAATGATATGATGTGTCAGTATTTGGCTTATTGTGTCTAAAGAAAGTGACATTGGTACTTGATGGCATTATACTGTACATTGTGCTTATTTGTTTGAAACCCCGTAGTTGACATTTGCACGGTTACTAAAAAGCAGAGGAATTAGAACAGAAAAATCAATAAAGTGAAGTTAGTGAAATTAGTCTATTGTGACTATATTTTTTAGTACATACTGCATTTCTGACTGTATGTTAATGAATGTTAATGAATCTCCGCTGTGTAAGACACTCTCCCTGAAGAGTTCTTGTGTTGCTCAGTACTGACCATCAGCAGCGGTTCCCCCCCAAGGGTGCGTTCTTTCCCCTCTGCTCTTCCCCCTGCCCACCAACAGCTGCACTTTCAGCCACCGGTCCGTCAAACTCCCAAAGATGGCGGATAACACCACCCCCAGTGGACTCATCTCACCTTGGCTATAGGTGGGAATCTGACCATCTGGTGTCGCGGTGCAGCCAAAACAACCTGGAGCTCAGCGGTCTAAAGACAGTGGAGATGGTTGTGGATTTGTGGAAGAACGCAGTCCCATCTTCCCCCATCACCCCGTGTGACTCCCCCGTCACCACTGTGGATTCCTTCTGTTTCCTGGGCTCCGTCATCACCCAGGACCTCGAGTGGGAGCTGAACATCAGCTCCATCACCAAGAAGGCTCAGCAGAGGTTGTTCTTCCTGGGGAAGCTGAAGAAATTCAACCTGCCAAAGACGATGATAGTCCACTTCTACACGGCCATCATGGAGTCCATCCTCTGCTCCTTCATCACCGTCTGGTACGCTGCAGCCACAGCCAAGGACAAGGGCAGGCTGCAGCGTGTCATCCGCTCTGCAGGGAGGGTGATTGGCTGCAATCTGCCGTCCCTCCAGGACTTGAAGCGAGCAAGGGAGATTGTAGCCGACTCCTCTCACCCCGGACACAAGCTGTTTGCGTCTGGCAGGGGGCTGAGGTCCATTAGGACCAAGACCTCACGCCACACAAACAGTTTCTTTGGGCTCATCAACAGCGCCCGGGTCCCCCACTGACTGACTCTGTCATCCATTTTTCTTACTGGTCACTCGCAATGTCTCATTGTCTTATTGTCCAAATAACCCCACCCGCCATGTTGAATTTCTTGTACGTCTAACATACTAATCTCACATACTCTGGCAATGAATGTACCTGATTCCTGATTCCAGCAAGTCATATGTCCCTTTGTCACTTTGACATTTTTATCCCATTACCATCGGTAATCGGCAGCGTGACAATTTGTATAGTTTCCCGTAAGCTTCCATTTCCTGTCACCAGAGCTTTGTGTCACAAAGTTTGTTCCTCCATGACATTACTGTAACTCAACCATTCCTTCTGGCCCAATGCCCTCCTTTCACACGCCCAGGAGGATATTTATAGAATAACCGAAATGAACACATCCTCAAAAGGATGTCTCAACACAACTGCCATTTCTGAAGTATCATTGTGCATAAAATGACTCACACACTGATTTTCTATCGCTGATGATAGAAAAACACACCCGAGCGCATGAGTGTGCATTATTATTATGGCAGCGTAACTTTCTCGTTGCGTGATAGCCATTGTCATGCCTGAGAGAATGTGTTAAAAGAGAGAACCCACAGATGGTGTTTTGATACATTTGTCAGTTGTAATCAGGCTGCACAGCTCTCTCAGTCAAACATTCCTTGTTCCTATTCCAAGAAATAGGAACAAGCTTCCTGATCGCCAAAGTGATCGTGCACATCGTAGCAACGGCACATTTGTTTCACGCGTATGTTGCGGTGTTTGTTACCTTTTCTTTAGGTAGAGCACAAACGGATGGAAATAGAGATGCACGAATGATTGAAAACACAATAAATAACTGCCAATGTTATCTCTTGCTCTCTTACTATGAATGTCTTTCTTTGATGGCTCTCTCTCCAAAAAATAATGTCAAATGTCAAATGTAAGCTATCCAGTCATCTAAACCATCTCCATGGAAACAGTGGTTGTTCAGCCTGCAATTACAGTATGTTTTTGTGCTTTGGCTGCACGTAGTTCCAAGGTGGATTTATGTTTTACAGGAGATGTGAACCGATGCGAGCGTAAAGTTTTAGATCTCCGAAAGCAAACCTCTTGACAAGATCCACGGTGTGTAAATAATCAAATTAACTTTAAAGATGCATGTAAAATTCTTGGGTTCCCTTTTAATTTCCCGCTTATACTCTCGTCATTCCCTGTCAACAGCTTTGCTCTAAAGAGTTCCGTCCTCTCATCTGCATATGCATGTTTGTACTGAAGGAGCAAGTATGGCTCCCTAAAATGTGTTTGAAAATCATCTGTACAAGTTATAAGAAAGAACAACTCTTTGGTTCTTCACATTGCACAAAGGAACATACATTTACAATGAATGTATGTACGTGGGGTGTAGTCTAACAAAGGCATCTCCATCATGTTGAAATACAAAACTATGTGGTTATATTATATGTCTAAAAGTTAATTGTTTTAGAACTATATCTTAGAAATATAAACAATGTTCATTCTTTTAATTGTACAATACATGTGTGCTTTTGGTGTAGTTGTAGATGTACAATAATCACATTTCTACAAAACTGCAGGTTCTACACAGAAGATCTCATTGATTTTGAGTGCTGTCTTTACAGCTTTATTGATGCCCATTTTATGTTAAGCTCAAATTACAGGAATGATGACACCTGTGAAAATAGCACACTAAACATCTAGATTTTCTCCAGATTAAAACTGATTACACCAATACAAGACTAGGTTTTTTTTCTAGACCAGCAGGACAGAAGAATGCTACATAACAATAAATATACGGTATGTACTGTATATATATATATAAATACTTATACTTATATATATAGTTTGTGTATTTGTGTCTATGTATGTATGTGCTGTTTGTGTCATTCTTTTTACCTAAACAAACACAAACACAAACAATACACAACATAAACTAAGGCCAGTTTTGAGGAAGAAATGAAGAGAACTTAACTGTACATTTTTCCCAAACTGGCTTTTGTAATGCCATAATTATACTAATACATAAAAAACATATAAGTTCCTCATTCACACAACAAAGTAATCTGAACTACAGCTGAATGAATTTCCCACCTTACAGAGCCGTGTTTCAATACTTGTGGCTTGCATTGACTTGGGCAGCTTTTTCTATTGTTACTCTATCCAGGCATGCCAAAAGAATTCGGATCAGTTGTTCTAGTCTTACAATTATGTTGAGATTATTACGTCAATCTGGACCAAAGTAAATGTATAAATAGTCAAAATGATTGAAAGGCATTCTGTGCCAAATTAAAAAACAACAACTTTTAGAGTAGTTTTCTGCTGAATTGATTAATTCAGGAGTCTTAGTGCAAAACACCGAAATCTGTCCCACCGTCTGCAGCTATTTCCATGGCAGACACATTTTATGTCTTCAATGTTTTTCAGAAGTTCAGTTTTGCTGAGTTCATTGTGCATCTGAAATTTCCCTTTGTGCTTCCTCCTCTCCTGTATGCTTCCTTCAGGAACTCTGCTTCATTGAATCCCGAAGTGGTTGTAGCTCCTAAGCCACATGGTTATCCTGCCTTTCTAACGGCAGTGTGCTGTTCCCCAGCTTCCTCTGCTTGGCCCCTCGCTGGGAGCCGGAGTGATGGCCCAACCCGGAGCTCGCTCTTTCCAGGACTCTTTGGGAGGGACGGATCCCTGAACCGCCATGCATGTGCTCATCGTCATCTGTGTCAGCGTCAATGAATTTATTGATGGACGTATCGTGGAATGTGAAGAGGCTGCTGGGCAGCATATTCTCTGGGCTCTTACTGGGTGTCCTACTTCTGGCAGTCGTGTAGACAGACACCTCAGGGCTCTGGACTGACGAGCTGTCAGAGAGGGTCCCTCTCCCTATTTCCTCCCCATCTCTGAGGTTGACCTTGAGAGAGTGTCGCAGAGCCCGAGGACTGTCCTCGGACAGGCCGAGCTTCGTGCCCCGTCCTGTCTGGGGTGTATTGGTGCCCTGGGATTCTTCATGCACATTCTCCAAAGTGGGCTCCAGGTTGGGGCGGGTGCTGACCTTCGCCGGCATGCCGCTGATGGGGCTTTGGGAAAAGCGAAAGCTCTCAGGGAAGTCAGTTGTGCAGCTGATGAAGCTGTCAATGCTGGACATGCTCCTCATGTCTGCCAACGTTTCTGCTTTGTTTGTGGTTGATTCAGCGGTGATGCTCCCCATCTCTATTTCTGTTCTACGCCTAACTGCTTTGGACGGCGGCCCCTTTTCCTCGCTGTCAAGATTGGGATGTGACTGGGTGTTGGCCATTGTACTGTACATCTCCTCCAGTGTCTGTGCGCTGAGATACTGAGGGCTGCTAGAGGGCTTGGCCTGCTCTTGGTAGCTTAATGCGAGGGCCTTGGAGGGGCTGCTGGGGCTCCTCTGCGACCTGAGTTTGGGCGTCCCTTTCTGCTTACTAGGAGACACGTGATTGTCATGTATCTTCTCATTCTTTTCACCTGCATTTTCCACTATTATATCCATGAGCTCTTTATCGCGGTCAAATGCATCTTTAATGTTCATAGAAACAATGCTCCCATTCATCTTAGCCCTCTCCAGAGCCTCCCTTCTTTTGATGGCTTTCTCCTGCCTCTTTTGCTCCTTGTAAAACTCTGAGAAGTTATTTACAATAATAGGGATAGGCAGCGCAATCACCAGTACTCCAGCAATGCAGCACAATCCTCCAACTATCTTCCCCAGTAGAGTTTTGGGGTATATATCTCCATAGCCTACCGTGGTCATAGTAATGGTAGCCCACCAGAAAGAAGCTGGGATGCTTTTGAACTTGGTGTCCTCTTCGTCCTTTTCGGCGAAGAACACCAGACTGGAGAAGATCATGATGCCCATGGCCAAGAAAAGGATAAGCAGGCCAAGCTCATTGTAACTCCTCCTTAGCGTGAAGCCCAGAGACTGGAGACCCGTGGAGTGACGAGCCAGCTTCAAAATACGCAAGATCCGCATGATCCGGAAAATCTGAACCACACGACGGACATTCTGAAATTGCAGCACGCTCTTGTTGGATACAGTCAAGAAGATGGTGACGTAGTATGGCAAGATGGCCAACAAGTCTATTATGTTCAGCGGACCCTTAAAGAACTTCCACTTGTTGGGAGAGGAGAGAAAGCGAAGCAGGTACTCCATGGTGAACCAGGCAATGCACACAGCTTCCACGTGGGCCAGTTCCGGGTTGTCTGTGGAATGACCAAACTCATCTATGTCCTGCAGCTCTGGAAGGGTGTTCAGAGACAAGGCAATGGTAGACAACACGATGAAGAGGATGGAGATAATGGCCAGGATCTGGAAAAGAAAAGACAAGAATAAAAGTGTGAAAATTACTAATGAATACATAGTAATGTTTGATGAGTATATCATGCTTAAACATCAGCTTGATCCGTGTAACATTCAGGTCAAAGCACCAATGTGCCCAAATGTACAGCATCACTGTCCGCCAGGCTGTATATTCATAGTCCTGCTCACATCATTAAGTTCGACTGTATGGTGATCGGGTGAAAAATGTATAGAACGTATTAGTATGTGCATACTAATAAAATGTGGACGGCCTTAGACTAATTGCTTGTTCAACCCAGTCCTTTAATCTTGGTGAAGCAAGCAGCAAATGCTTCATCATCACAGCAATGACGATAGTTGAGACTGAAACGATTTAAAAATAAAGATTAAACGGCCGTGCTGAACCTAGAATAACTCTGAAGCCATCTGTTTTGCTTTTGGGAGAGGCGCATTCTCATAACCTTGAATCATTTTTACCACACTTTAAACTTTCATTTTAACGAATAAACTTACTTCAATAAAGGAAAAGTACTCTCTGGTGGTATTACCACAGCATGCGTGACTCACTTTACCTCTCTGCAATTTGCAATGTTAAAAAGTATATTAAAAGCCCAGCTGTCCAGACCAGTAGAGCTAAAGTTAGCAGTTGCCCCTGAACTACATGCGGAAAGTTAAAAAGCTCCATCACAGTGGCATATTGCTTTAGCAACGTCAGAGAAGGAAAGTCAGTCTCCGGAGAAACGCCATTTCACTGTGTCAAAGCAGGTTGATGCCATTCGAGACACTAAATCGCATTTCACACACAACTAAAATATCCCAACTAGCAATTGACATTTACTGAGGATATTTGTTGACGGCCCATTTAACTTTCTTGCTTCTTTCTCCAAAATAATCCCGAAAATGTCATATCAGCATTTCAAAGAAATGGGGTCACAGCTAATGCAATCTCTGGGGCAGATGTTTTTGTTCTTCCTATTCAAATTTTGACATGCATTGCAGAGAGAACTGATACATTTTTAAAAGCTTCGCCACACTTCGCCGTCCCTCTGTGTCATTACAATGTGCTTTGATCCTTTAATGCCCGACACTAGAAGACCACAATGTATTACTTGTTTAACAAAGCAAAGCACGCGTTGTCAATGAGCTTGACAGACAAGTGGAGAGTCCGGAAGCGTAACCGGCTGAGTCCTGTAGGGACTCGTCTTAGTACTGGCAGTTGAAGAGGCCGCATAGTCGTGGTTGTCCTTTTGTTCCTCTCCCACAGTCGGTGTAAAACCCGTCACAAGGTCAGTGTGTCGCAGGCCAGCGGTGAGCAGGATTATTCTCTGGTGCCAATCAGTGACCATAAATGTTAATTCATCTTGACAGGTGAACACTTGCACATCTAGCCTGACCTTTGAGGAGAGAGGGACTAAAAACAGAGATGCCCTGCTGTGGTGATGGTATGAGAGTTTAGGAGAAAGGGCAATTCCAACTTCAGCAGCCAGTTCAGCTCTGAGAGCATGTTCAATTAAAGGGCAAACTAAAAATGTAAACTCATTCCCTGAAGTGGTCTGCCTCGCGCTCTAGATCCCACGAGACCAAAGTGATGGATGAAAACTCTCAAATAGGATCCAGTAGAGGCTTGTTACTAACATGACCATCAATAGAGTCGGAGATGTAGAGGTCAGATTATCAGACACGACAAATTCTGGAGAGGTGTGAAAAGGAATTTGTATCATTGATTTAGCGGCAGGTTTTCTAAAAACAATGAGGCTGCTGCTCTAAAATGGAAATCACACTCATCCACAGTAATTTATGTTAATTCTCTGACTAGGCCCGAGCGCTGCTTATGTACCACACTGAATACAAAAGACAGCGTAGTTTATTTGGAGAACAACCAGAGCAGGGCCAGCTGAACCTCCCATCGAACGATTTATCTTCACCCCTTCCCCTCCAACACCAGGAGTTCTCTTAGAGAGGAGCTGATAGGGATGTGATCCCACCACAGAAACACAGTACAAACAGGGCGAGAGAGACGAGTGTCTGCTGAGGCCCATCAGCACGGTGACAAAAACCTGACACAGAGGGAATGTGGCCAACCAGTCTTAGCTGCAGAAACGTGTTAGTTTCCTTGGTTAGTCACTGTGATCTGAGTGTGTTTGTATGATTATTGTATTCAACAATGATTGCGTTTAAATGGAAATTGAGTATGAATAAGTTATTGTTACTGCTGCTGGCAGGCAGAGTTGAGGAGAAAGAGAAAGTGTTCCCACAGTGCAGATAATGGCAACGAAGGTAAATATATGTTGCTATTTTGCAAGAACGACAATATGACATAAATGCAATCTTACAAAAGGTTTCGGCAAGCAATGTGTTACCTCGGTCTTCTTAATGACAAGTGCTGAGGTTTTGAGGACAAGTCATCCCAATTCCTGTCTGCATACGTAAACAGAATAATAATCTGCCCAAGAATGCTGCTACTTCAACACAACCCTGATATACACACTCATGCATCGCAAACAAACCCACATGCATAATATTTCCACTCTTTTTCCCTCCCAGTCAGTAATTAGCCCCAGGTCTTCCTACCCCACACACCACGAGGCAAGGGCCTGAATATTTAAACATCGTCCTGCAAGCCACCCTGTCCTTTAAAAGGTGTGCATGAGTGGTGCTCACAGGGCCATGGCAGTTTGCAGAGCCGGGGAGAAAGCCTAGTTTCCACACTGCTTCCGCCACACAAAGTTAGTTCTGCTTCATGCGCGATCAAGGAATGGATGGACAGGGGGAAGGAGACACAGCGGGGGAATCCCGTACCAAAGGATTAGAGTTAAACACCTGGTCTGTAGCTTGTAGATTTGGCCGAATGTGGTGGCAATGTAAAGAAAGTTGAGTTAATGGCAGTCAGAAGATCACCAAAGTCAATAGGATGCATCCTCTGGAGAGTTTGACTGTTCACATCGATCCAGATGTTTAAATATTTCCATATTTACAAGGTGTAAGTAACCGACCATTAACAAAATCACATTTCTGTCAAAATATTGCAAAATATAAATCTTATTATTAGTTTTTCACCTCAACAGTGACCCTGTAATGTTCACAACAAACGTGTCACAGATTGGCTTGATTTTCAATTGCTTACTGCTTCAATCCCAAAACTGTTAAGATTACCCCTTCACTTTTAAAATAAATCTAAATAAATCTATCTCGAAATAGCTCTCCAATGAGTGAAGAGCTGATATTATTTGTGTGTTGTGTTTTTATGGATAAAATGTAATCAAAGTGGTGTTATTCATTGGCATTTACAGTGAATGGTTTCTCACAGATACTGACATGGTCACATACAGAGGCGTCTAAGAAAGACTGGAAACAGAAATACGAGACGCACACAAATAGAATTTGTTTCTGAGAATAGACGACATGGACAGAGGTGCATTGTAGTTGCCGGCGTAAATCTTTCCGTCCGTCATGAAGAACTTTCCCGTGTGTCATGCTGTGTGAAATGTTGATTCCCTCCTGGTCCAACCTCGTGGTAACTGGGTTTTCCCTTTTCACCACAATAAACGGAATCAATAGAGGTATTGTTACGCTTACTGACTCACTAACTTTATTTTCTCAGGGTATGTTGAGTGCAAGGTGGTATCTTTAATCCTCTTATTGTATTACTACTTCTGCGGATGCCAATAAATCTTTTCTGGCTCTGTGCGCTCAAGTCAGCGGCAGGACTAAGGACATGCAGGCTTCCAGTGAGAGACCAGAAGGACAGAGGGACATCTACTCTGAGGGTCATTCAGAGGTCTTTCACTGATGCTGAGTTTTCCTAAATAGTTTACAATTCCTTCCTTAGATTTCTCATAGATTTTATTATGGTTTTGGAAAATGTTGACTTTAGTTGTATTTAGGTTTGTAAAGCAATGTGTCATTTGGTAATTTAGTCGTAGCTCACATTGTCACAGATTTCAAGCCTAAAATGAGAACCATACACCAATAATGGGAACAATGAGTGGGAGCAATGATGACCTGCCTATTCAAAAGTATTACTTTACATCTGTTTGAGGAGCAATGCGCAGTTTTTAGTTATACAAGTGCCTGCCGGCCCAACTTTCCCATCTGTTTCTAAACCAGATAAAGCATCTCCCAAATTGACTAAACCCCTGTGTCTCACACAGATGTGCCCTCTGCATCATCTGCCTCCATAACTTTGCCTGCCAAGCTTTTCTACTCCACCTTTATGCCTATAGCAGGGAGCATGTGCCTCACCTGTGCTGGGGAGGAGACAGGGAGATGGATGACGCAGAGTGCGTCCTTTCAGAAGTGTGAAGGTGGTTAAAATGATGAGGCCTGCAGAGCATTGTGTATGCACTGATCTACGTCTTCTTTGTTATCGGCAAATAATGATTGTAACGGTTGCTTTTAGGCGTAAGGGAATACATATTATTCCATCAAATGTTTCCTAAAGATACCAAAAACGTGAGGAGTTATTTAGTTTAAAATGAACTCAAACACGGTGTTTCAGTACACTTTTAATGTACTTGCAATTTACTTGAGTACTTGAGTATAAACAAAAATTTATCTCATGAAAAATGCGGTTGTAATAAAAAAGAGACGAGTGAGAGGCTGACAGTAGAGATCGCTCCCCTGTGGACGATGTACAAACCTGTACTAACGCTGAGAGTCGGTTCCCCCTGATACAACACCTGTGCTATTGTCACCTTTCCACCTGGAACAGAAAACCTTGACTTTGAAACATCTGGAACAGCTGTGATATCTGGTATACATCATAGAACTCGTGCCACAAAGATTATCTTTACCAATATTTTGCAAGAATAGCACAACTACGCTTTAATGGGCTGCTGCAGACATCTTACTTACCACCACTGAGTTATTCCTTAGGTCATATCAGTTGAGCATTAATTGATAGACTAATCCAAGATCATTTAGAGATGAAATACCAGACAGAAAAGTCTCTACTGGCAGACTAAAAGAGGATTAAAGATCCACATCACCATCATGATGTGAGACTATTC